ACTGACCAGCTAGACACCGCTCTGCAAGCTGCCAGGATGCACATCAGCAATCGGATTGGTATTGGCCAATACAACCCGTTAAAAAATTGGCTATTACCATCAGCCCAAAAAGTCTTGTAAGGGTGCACCCTTACTACTTTAACTACTAAACTAAGAAATATAAACCTGTAAAACTGTTCCTATGAAGCAGACACAAAGTTGCTATCAAAAAAGCATGACCACAGGCATCCATCATAAGATGAAATAGTAGAAGTTGAATCGGCCATCACAAGGGCCACTTCACAGCCAGTATACCAGCAACAGGAGTGAATCAAGACAGTACCACCTAGAATATCAACATCATTAACTTATCACTATGCCACACCCGCACTCTGAAATACCCATACTCCCCAAGAGATCTAGACTCCTGCCTAGAGAAACAACCTGACAAGGTACTAATATACAGAGAACTGAAAGAATCCTTCTGCTGACTTCATCTCAGAGAATACTTCCACAGCCAAACCAGGACCACCTCTGACCACCTACCCACCACAACAGAGAAGATTAAAAAGAAAAATTCTGATTAGACATTCCCCAGTGGATGGAGTCACATACTGCACTATTACATTGCCTGCTTCAGGGGAAAAAGCTGCCAACAGTGAAATTCAACAAAAGCAAAGTCCACCAAAACTTTCTTCATTCAGAGGAAAAAAAAAAAAACCAAAAAGAAAAACCATACAGTTCCCAAGACTCAACAACAACATAGTAGTAGTAAGGGCTACAGTCATCTTCTACTGTCCACACAGTGACAACTCTCTGTCACCAACTACTAAAAAGAACTCGAGGAGGACCCAAGACCAACATTCTCTCAAAGAAATGTTCTGAAAGCTAGCATGGAAAAGATTTGATAGAAACTGCTCTCACTAATCCCCTACTCCCCCATCACAAGAACATTTTATATCTGCCCAAAGGTTTACAAAAAGGTAATGTAAGCAGATTCGTTTCCAACTGCAGTATCCTCCTGAAGAGAGGTTAGGGATTCATAGAAACCATCCTTAAAAAACGAACAAAACCAAACCATGCGTAGAACTTGTCACCTAAAAGAGGAAGTTTTTTTCTTTTTAAACAAGACACAGAGTTCCTTAAAATCCAGAATATAACCACATCCCCAAAACCACATTTCTAATCATGGTTCTCGCCAGCATACATACTTATGGCCTGTACTATGAAGGAGTTATGCAAGTGAAATACCTAAAAAACCCACCCAAAGAACTAAAAAAAACAAAACAAAAAAAACCCACCCCACAGAATACACTCAGACTTGCAATTATAAAACTTACTGCACGAATCATCCAAATTCATTAGCTGACCAGACACTAAAACTAGTGGCTAGATAGAGATATTGACTTCATCTACCTCTGCATTTCACCCTCTTCCCTCTTGCTTTACTTCACTTCTTGTCTCCTGATAACATTTCTTTCCTCCTATTTTGGAGCCCCCCTCCATTCCTTTAAACAGACTTTTTATTTACAAAACATTGTCCTGCTATTTAAATTCAAGAGGTGACTGCCACTTCTCAGAGTTGGGAAAGTTTGTCTAAGATTTTTTCTAACTATACATTTAATTCAATAAAACATATCACCACCCCAAAAAATCTGTGTCTCAGCTGAAAGTTTGCCAGTTCATACTAAAGTATTCC